TGGCTGCCGCGCAGGCTGCGCGTGAACGGCGGGTAGTTGAGGAACTCGAAGCGCAGGCTCTGCTCCGTGGTGTGATGGCCTCGGGGCAGCCGCTTCATGAAGTGGACCTCGCGCTGGTGCTGCCGCGTCTTGGAGCCCTTGCGCGGCCGGCCCTTGCGGGTGAAGGCCATGTACCAGCCTTCGTACTTGGCGTTCTGCAGGGCCGTGTAGTTGTTCTCCAGCACGATCTCCGTGAAGACACAATCCTTGCCCTTGCCGTTGCTCTGCAGGTGGGGGGTGGGGAGGGGGCAGACGCGGCGTTACTGGGCTCTGGCCGGAGCTCCCCAGCAGAGGCAGAGGGCAGGCGGCCCCAGACAGCAGGTGGGCACCCCAGCAGATGGCAGGGTGGGCACGAGCTGCAGCCCCACCCCCGCCCGGGCACCCGCTCTCTAATCCCTCACAAGCCGCAGCCCACCCGGCAACTTCCTGTCCTCCTGGGCAGCAGTGACACATGGTTGTCTCCGGAGGGGCCGGGCCCCAACACAGAGGGGCAGAGAGGGGGCCCAGACCCTGCCTGCCCTGGCCTCCTGCCCACCAGTCTGGCCGAGCTGCTGGCACCAGTTTCCCCAGCTGCCCCCCCTCAGCCCCTCAGGACCCCAGGGGCCCCAGGGCAGCCACCCCATGGGGGAGGGGAGACCTGCGGGGAGACTCGGAGCCCCAATCCCCAGAAGCCCAGGAAGCAGGGAACTCGAGGCTGGAGAAGAGCCGTGACTAATGGGGCCATTTCAGAGCTAGGCCGAGGGGCTGGGCCTGCGGCTTACTGAACATTCCAAATGCTGGTACCATGTAATTGGACATAATAGCAAAGCAATTTGGCGATTTGTTAAAAAGATATATGGAATTTACCAACCCCCCCGCCAGCCCCTACCCTAGCCTTCCTTCTTCCTCCTTTGCCTTTATAGCTTTTCATCTCTCAAGCAGTTTCCTTCTCTCTCACCTCCCCCCCCCCCCAATCATTAGGTAACCCCAAGGTGGCCCTGGGTCTCTCTGCCCACCTTGTTGGGCTCTGGCTCTGCCAGCCCAGCTACTCCCCAGGCCCTGGGGGGCCCTCCCTTCCTTCTGGGGCCTCACCTTGGCAATCAGCTTCCCCTTCTTATTCATGCAGATGTAGAGGCCTGTCTCAGCTCCTCGGACTCGAACCCGGCTGCCAAAGGTATCTGTCTCCACAATGAGCTTTGCTGTCAGGGAAGGTGGGGGGATGGTTATTGGAAGCTCCCTGACCCCCACTGTACCACATCGTCACCCCAGCTGACCCACAGACCTGTCACATCCCCCCAGCAACTGCTCCAAGAGCAGGTATCCAAGATGTGGGCTCCGGCCCCAGCCCAGCTGCCAATATGCTGTGCAACTTTGCGAAAGATCAAGTCTCCTTTCTGGGCCCCAGGACCCTCACTTGGATTTACATAAGGGGGTGGATAAGATCATGGAGTACAAACGGTTCTGCAGAGAGATCTTGGGGCCATCAAACTGAAAAGACTCTCTTTTAGAACCAGATAGTATTGACTTTTATGTCAAGGCTTCATGACTAGAGCTCCACTCTTATCAAAGATCTCGGGGGATCCTTCAAAGTCAAAATATTATGTGTCCATGCCTCACATATCACTACAAACTTCTGGGGGTACAACAGTGACATCAGCTGGGAGGCCAAACATTAAAGCATCTCTCCTGTTTCTGGCCCCTCAGGTTCTAACTCACAGCCTTCACGACCCCCTCACCCCACCCCTGCTCTGCTGAGAAGATGACCGCTCTCCCTACACACACGGCCCATACATAGCCAGCTGCTCTCCCAGAACCTCAGACTCCAGCTGGGAGGATTCTGCTCTTCTCCACGCTTCCCAGTCACCACTGTCCCCAGCCCCAGTGTCCAGAAATCAATGACTCAAATAGTCTTTTCTCTTTCAACCTCCATCACAGCTGGGCTTCTCACCCCAGTGACCAAACACTTACTGCGGGTGAGGAGGCGAGGAAAGCAGGCATGCTTGCCTCTCCGTCTGGAAAGCCCTGAGACAGGGAGCTGAATTCTGTGCCTTCTTCCCCTGCCCCCTCCCCTTAGACAGCCAACTTGCCACAGAAGTCCTGGTCCCCGTCTACTCTTTGTGTAACTCCTCCCTTTGAGGCTGTCCCCAAGAAGGGAATGAGGGCTGACTTAGCTGCTGGGGATAGGACAGAAGAGGCTGGGTCTCCTATCCTCTCTACTGCGGAGCCCAGAATTTTCCCTGCTTGAGAAGGCAGTTCTGGGACTCCCAGAGCTGCCTCCCAGCCTGCCCTAAGAAGGCAGCACCTTTTTTGTCCTCAAAACTAAACTGACTAGAGGTCAGTGAGGCAGCCCTCATTGCCCAGCCTGTGACTACCCCACCCCTTCGCAGAAGCACAGAGCGGGGACCCAGTGGCCAACTCCCCAGTCTGGCTCCGAGTCAGCCAGGGAAATGCAGCTGTCACCTCCCCTCCCACCCACCTCCTCTTGGACCCAGCCGGTCTGCTCATCCCTCTCCTGATCTGCCTTCCAGAGCAAGGAGTGGCTGCTGTTAAGGGCCAGGAAGGACACTAGCTGGAGAAGGGGCAAGAGGACTCTGGCCAAATGGGGCAGACAGGGATGGAACAATCCCTCGGTTCCTTCCTGGGACCCATAAGGAAGCAACTAGGACTTCTCTGCTATTCTCCCCCAGACTCATACTGTGCTGGCTATACACCCTAAGCCTCTCTGCTCTTGGGCCCTCCAGTTCCCACCCCTGCCTGGCAGGCAGGGACCAGGGAACCTGGAAAGCTTCCTACATTTGTAAGGACAGAAGTGGGCATGAGACTTCTGAGGTCTGAAGATGAGTTCACCCACGGCCAGCTTAGCCTCTTCTTCCGTCCCCAAAACCCAAGGATGCTGGACCATTTGCTCCAGTGGAGCAAACCCAGGAGGAGCTAAGCATTCGTTCCCTTTCCTTGGAAGCTGAGAGGAGAAGCCAGCAGCCAGTTCGGAGGGACAGAGGGACAAAGGGACGGCAGGCTGGCCCTGCCAGCGCAGCGGGGGAGCTCGGCCACCGGGCAGGCCGCCCCCCACCCCCACCACGGAGAGCCCCCACTCCCCTTCCTGGATGGATCTGGGGAGCTGGGGCTGCAAGTTTACAGCGGCTTTCCCGACCGGGCTTTTGGAAAGCTTAACATTTTCAAACCTATTCTTCCACCCCAGTGACAGATTTATCCCGGGAAAATTATGTCTCCTTCTCCAGCTTTGAAGGGAAGTCAGCTACGTCGATGCAGAAAAAATGCAGTGAGACATACTCGATCCCCCAAACTGGCTGGAGAAGAGGAGAAAGTATTCAGGAAATGTTAAAAAAGGTGAAAGTAAGAAGAGTTTTAATCGCTCTGCCAGACGCGGGGGTCTCTCCAGAGATTCATAGAGAACAATCTTGAACCTCTTTTTTAACATTTACAGACTTGCAACTCCTTTCAAACTCC